AATATCTGCAGAGCAGAACTTGCCTTCCACAGCAACTATTTTTAGTTAGCATATAGCTAAAATCTAACCATGGTTATATAATAGCAGCTGCAATCTGGGGCGATAAGCTSTATGTTTTATATTCAATTAACATATGATCCGATTAGTTGACTAATCGAAAAAATAATCAGTGATTAATCAATTATAAAAATAATCGTTTGTGGCAGCCCTATTTAATACCATGTAAATTCAATGAAAAACTGAACAMCATAAAARTTGTTGAGTCAGAATCAATGAAAGAAAGTGGATTAAATATTTACCCTACATTCACATCCACAATACATGGACATGAAATTATGTCCTGGGAGGKTCAGCAGCTCAGTTTGGGAGGAGGGGATGTGAAAATGTCCAGAGGCTCAGTGAGGACAGGAGAAGCTGTGGTGCCTCACCTGGGCTCAGAAAGAAAGACCCGCCCAACTCCACTCTGATTGGGTAAAACTATGACTATAGCTCACATTATTTGTTGAAAGCCACGTCAGTTTACCGTAATCCTGAGTTATCCACTGCAGAAATATGTTGCTTTTATCATATATTTTTTTTTACAGATGATGAAAATCAGTCAAGTGAAAAGAGAACKTCAATCCCCACCCCCCACAAATTTAAGGACTTTCAAGGACAAGTGTAATTTTTGGCTGTTTTCGCAAACTTTCCAGGGCCTTGAAATCATTTTTTCAAATTCACAAACTTTAAAGGATTTCAAGGACCCATGGGAACCCTGTAATTAGTTCTCTACACATGTGGAGCAATGGGCTGCCATCTACAGCACCTGGGGAGCAACTGTAGCATTGATAGCCTGGCCCWTGCCTTCCTACACAGCTCCGCTTTATTCTAGTTTCCCCTCACTGCTCCGTCTGGGACTTCTCCCATAGACAAGGATTTCTTTGGGAGCATTTCATTCGGACCAATCAAATTCAAATTCAGTTTATTTATATAGCGCCAAGTCACAACATACGTTGTCTCAGGGCACTGTACAYAAAATCAGAGAACAGAACATTTATTTTTGTGCGCAGTGTCTGCTAGTTAATTTAGCATTCRGCAGTGGAGGAAGTGAATGAAGCCAGTCTGTGTTGATAAGGCTTCCAAATTAAACTCAATTTGTCGGACAAAGCAGCAGCTCTCATTTACAGTCGTCTCGTTTGGCTCGGTACTTCTCTCCTCTCAGTAGGGTTGTTTACAGCGCACACACAATTTCCGGTTAGCTTCTTAGCTTAGCCTCTTTCACAGTGGAGCTGGCGACAAACGTCGCAGCCAACCGATCCAATCMTTTTAAACTTCAGCAGAGGYCWCACCTCCAGCAAGAATCACTTCTCTATAGCTGAGAGTCCAGACCCTYGTACGAAGCAAAGTGAMGGACAAGGACATGGTTTTTACCAGGTTATAGCATTGAGGGCCTTGCTCGAGGGCCCATACAACAGTTGCCCACCSACACTTTTGTTGTCTGGTGACAGGCTCACCCTCTCTAATCCCCCAACAAATCTTAGCTCAGTTTCTGTGAAACTGCCGTTGCTTTAATCATTCTTCCATTAGCCGAGGCCGATCAACTGTAGCAGTGTCTTTAATGAGGTTAACCACAGAAGTTAATTAGTTGTACATGTAATTGTAACTTTGCCAGAGTCATTAAAGTTTGTAGTGGTTCATGAGATATTGTGCTACAAACACAGGTAAAAACTATATTGCCCACCATTAACAACACAACAGAATTCTTCCTAAACCACAACCTAGTACTGAATATTGTGTTTTATTAACACCCCACCTTGCCATCCTTGTCCAGTCTGCAGGGTGCGTTGTTWGATGAGGGGTTAAGTGCAGCGTTGTTGCCAGTGGGCACTGGTCTTAAAGCGTCCACATCCAGAGACGCAGCGTTCACATTAGGAGGAGTCAGAGAGGCAGCAGCGCAGCTGAGTGCCACTCCTGCCCGGGTACAGCCCTGAGCGCTGCTGGAGGAGGGCTGTGGGAAAACTACAAGCTGTGGGACGAAGGTCACAGGGGCCGCACACTGGATGGGTGTCACTGCAGCTGTGGGTCTGTCTTGACTGTGACAAGCTGCTGCAACAAGGACACAAACAAAATAAGACTGAATTCTTCTTTCATTCCCTGAGGCTACGTTTTCACATTTACCTGTTCTGACAGCGTTGCGGGCCTGGTTCACAGTCATCTGTGAGCTGATATGCACGGGCACTTTTGGCTGCTGGCCTGTGGCCGTCTGAGCTGCTGTCACCACAGCTGCAGGTTGGGAGCAGGCAGGTCCAGCGGTGGAGCACACAGTGAGGGGTTTGTTGAAGTCAGGCCCTTGAACAATGGCCCCCAGAGAAGCAGAGGAAGGGCTGACGATGGTGATTCCTCTGCCAGCCTGAGTGCAAAGACTCATGGGAACTTTGGCCTGGGAGCTGCCAGATGCTGTCCTGAGGTGGACGAGAAAGAGTCGGCGTTGGATAAATTATTTAGTTTATTTTGATTACAAAAATGATTTAAAGTAATGATTAAACTGACAATTACAAAAAAAAAAAAAAAAAAAAAAATCAACAGAAGAAACATGACTTCTTCACCTTTCAAAAGGGAATAAACTTGTGACTACTGGAAAAAGTTGAAGCTTGTTTACACGTGTCCCAGGTAAAAATAAAAAAATCAGGTATAACAGTAAATTTGACTGATAATTCACAATCCTCCTATAAATCAGTTCACATTATAAGCCGGAGTTACCTTTTCACAGTTTAATCATAAATACTGATTTAATAATTATTAACTCATCAATGAGCTCATTCTATTGTTTGACTCCCACAAGTGAAATATTTTACACTTAAAAACTTTCAAATGCAACTAAACAAAATATTTTCTGAACATCAATCATGGCTACCTTTCTACTGCTTTTACTAACTTACAAATGCAAAATGAAACATAACCCTGGTAAACTATATTGTTCTCCTAATTTAACACAAATGACTGATTAGAACTAGGTAAGCTGTTTGAACATGAAAATACATTTCCTTTTGTATTTAAAAATTAATGGTAAAGTAATAAGAATTTCATAGTATTTTGTGTTATTTTGACAGCTTTTCAAAGTTTAACTAGATCCAGCATAGCGTTAGCATATATGACCCCCGCACGTACGCAAAGCACCAGAACTCAGAAGTCATCTGAACAGATTTATTGTTTTGGGTGGGGGTCTGGAGGGGGTACGGGTTGCTTATTGGTGGGGCCGATGGATAGGCCTTCATCAGAGCTAAACAACAAAAATCTGAAGCTCCTATGTTGAATAATTTTTGAGCTACAAGCATTTTTGTACATCCGGACACCCCCGATACAGATGAATCCCCCTCCTAAAATATGGGGTCTATGGTAAACGGTCGGACTCATCTACATTCCTGCCAAATTTCAGGTTAATCGGTGCAGCTGTTTCAGTGATACAGTTGACCAAATAGCTTGAAAAAATAAAGTAATACTTAAAAAAGCTTTAAGAAAACAATATAATTACTAGGGGTGTAAGAAAATATCGATACACTGAAATATCGCAATATTTCATTTCCCGATACTGTATCGATATTCTAAAGCCCTGTATCGATTCTTTATTAAGGTTTAAAATGTCAACTTTCCTGCCAGAGCAGGGCGGGTGCGCGCTGCCTTCTTTTTTTTGTCACTTCAGTAGAAAACGAAACTACAGTAAATATTAGTTTATTTAGTTTATTTATTTCTTCATCATCAGTGACTTTTTTTTTAGTGAAGAGAAAATAGAGACAGAGAGAAAAACAGAGAGAGAAGTAATTAGAAAGATAGAAAGATTGAAATAGCGATTAGTATATTAAATATATTCTCTGTGGGTGGGGTGTCAGCTTCACTCAGCTCAGGTGAACACCTCCCAGGAAAGCCCTCAGCGTTTCCTGGACTATTTTCCACTGAGGACTACGTCGTATTTTATATATATTATATTTCTAAAAGCACATCGCAGCATTTCTCCTGTAACACTGTGTGTTCACGAGCACAACAAAACCGCGACAGATCACCTGACCGTTTTTAAAGCGAGGGGCAGCAACTGCAGCAGCTGCACCTGTCCACCTGCAGCACAGCTCCGACCAGGACTTAGAGTCCATACATGTCAAACCATTCAGACGTTTATGTTTATAATGAGCATCAAAAATCTGTAATTTGTGCAAAAAAAATCAGTATTAATCACGCGGGTGGTGTGGAGGTGTAAGCCGACCGCAGCCACACGGGGTAGGGAGGAGAATGGGGGTCTTTTAAAGACGTGTCTACATTTGACTTTTATTTTAAAAGTACTTTTTTCTAAAATCACAGAGTTCTCTGAGTCAGCTTCAGGTGCTTGTAGTTAATCATAATATCTTCTAAATTTAACCAGGTGTTTCAATGCCTTTAAATTACACAATACTTTTAGTGGAGAAACTTGTCAGCTTGGTTTAAAAAAAACAGTAAAAATAAATTATTTTTCTCTGTGCAGAGAACCACTTGTGCTATATTTTTAAATAAATGTATCAAAGCTCTTCAGATGAAAAGACTAAAATGACAGAAGAGCTGTTTAAAAACCTCTTTCTTCAGAAAGTCTTCAGTCCTAAGAACAATAAACTGTAACTTTWATAAGGTCATGTACACAGCATACTCCTAATTAAATTAAAATGTTTGACCTGTAAGCAGAAAGCTTATGGATGTTGATTTTTAGTCTCCATTTCAAAGAACAGGAGGAGGAAGTTTTACTCAAGCAGCTCCTGAAACTGTCAACCTGCTGACTGAGAACATTTGTATACAGTAAACTTTGTATACAGAACAATATACTTATAAAATTACATTTTTATTTTTTTATTCCATTTATCCACCACCACGTTAAAAAAATCATAGGGGAAACCTTGTAACATATTTAGGTATCTTTTAAAAAAATTAAGATAAATAATGAGCACTTTTTTTGCAACACTATTTAACTTATTCATTATATCTTAACACCTTCAAAGAATATAAATACATAAAAATAAAACAATTTATTAACATCAAACCATTTCTGGACTCAAATTCCTTTCCTACAATTTTTAGTAAATATTTTTATACCTATCTACAGAGCACATATTACTGTATTTGTGTGATCTACGTTAAGTCTAATAACTGAATCTTGTAGAACACTACGTTTTTCTTCTTAGTTGTGAATTTGTGATTTTTACGCCCAGAAACACGTCCAAATACATTTGAGCAAGTGATTTTCAGCCTCTTATTTCACACGTTCACATTTATGTAGCATCAATTGTGTCAAAAACTTTCCTTTAATCAAAAAACATCTCTACAGCTTTGTGTTTATTTACAGCTTTGACATATATTTTATAAATTCTAACATGGCCAGAGATGTCAATCAACCCATTCTGATAATCACTAATCTTCAAAAAAAGTCTGACTTAATATTAATAATAATATATTTGTTGTAATTCAACATTTTTTGGTTTTAGTCATCTTTGATAAAAGCAGGGGTCTCATGAGGAATAAACTTGCCAAATAGAGAATGAAGAACTTTAAATGGCTTTTACATTTCTGTGGTGAACTGTTTACAGACTATAAGAGCTGAACTCAAGAAAATAAATTAGTTACACATTTCTAAAGAGGAATCTGCAAAGCAATCAAAAGCTGCTCTTTATGGAAACTCTTTGCAATGCTGGAATGTGTCTGCGGTTCACTAACTTCCAGCCAAAACTGTTGTTTTATATGTTAAAAGAGAACATGCAGGTATAGTTTACAGCAACTAACTGTATTTTATGAAAGAGACCAGAGAATGAATCGGTTCTGACTGTGCAGACAAACAGCTGCATGTGGACAGGATGTTGAAATTAAAAAAATAGCTTACAGTTGTAGCATGAAACACCCCCCTTAAAAGATGACCTCTTAACCTTAATGCTGCATTCACACAGAATGAGTTTTGAGTGTCAAAAGCATGTCCAACGGCTCTACGCCTCTTGYTTGTTTTCCTCTGCTGGTCTCTATATATGGTGGATGGAATAAAGAAAGTGGCTTTGCTTTATTTACTGAGAGTAAGAGCCTGTCACCCTCACCAGATAATTAATTTATAATTAATTCACCAGATAATTCAGAGACGTTCTGAGTTAGGTGACTTTCACCACTCYAGGAGYTGATGAGGCTCGCTTTCAGAACTATTTTTGTCCCGAGCTGCTGACCCACATCTGTGCACTCACCTCCTGCCAGGACACCGACTACAGTCGGTCGGTCTCAGCTGGAGAGTACCTGTCCATCTGTCTCAGGTTAGTGGACATCATTCAGGAAACGTCCCATCAGAAAATGTGTCACTACGTCCCTTAGTGGAGTCTCTCTGATTGGTTGATGCTCCACAACCAGCAGCAAAAGTTCAGACTTTCCAGCTCCAGCCTCTGATGCTGTGGATGCGTGTCAAATGCTCAAAACGCTCAAAATGCGCCACACTGGACGCACTGCAGCACTTCCCAATGCCCCTCAACGTGTGTCCACCATAAACTTTGCATGTAAACCTGACAGCACTGATGATCAAATCATGTTCGTTCTGAACGAAGCATTAGATTTGTTCCAAAACTGAAATATTTTCTTTAAAAGTTATTTTAGAGATTTCTTTTGACGTACTGTCTTGTGTTTCAATAAGGTTTATTGTCCTTTAATAGTTAACCCACAGTGGTGGGCACAGTTCCCCTAAAGCACTAATAGGGGACCTAATTTCCTGATTAGTGCTTTAGGGCTTTTGCTAATTTTAAAATTTATTAGTGGGTTAACTTGCTAAATCTATAGGTTAAATTTAGAAGCAGTAACTGAGGTCTATAAATGTTATTGATCAACGTTAATGTTAACAGGTGAGGGTGAAAGCTGTCACACATTTTGTTCATATGTGTCACTTATCCACCAGGTGACAATATATTAACAATATATGAACTCAAATACAGCTGTGGAATGTCAATGATAAGAATTAAGAGAGCAACATGACAACGTGACTCATGTTGTCTTAGGCCTGCGCGGTATATGCGGTAGACGGTAGAAACGGTATGAAGTTGGCCTACGGTATAAATTTACCCTCCACCGTCCTGTCATCCTTGCACCTGTGTGAACAGGGCTGCGAGTGCAGAGACAACTGAGCAGGAGGAGTTCGAAATAAAACTAAGAAATTATAGCGTTTTAAAACACGCATAGAGAATAAATCCTCAAAATTTCCTCCTCCCACTGTAGAAAAGTTACGTCGTGTCGCGGGATCATTTCCTCTCCTCCCGCTGCACCACGTCGCACAGAGCGAAGCTTTAACAGCTGTAGTTTTTCACACCCAATTGTTAAAGAAAAAAATGTTTTTTATCTATTGTTACCCGCAGAGATGATAAAAAAAAAGACGTGGATGTTCGTTCAGTCGTAAATCCATCTTGCTAATGTAAAGTCAGCTTCTGCTCTGATGATGAAGATGATGAAGATGAGCGCGCAGCAGAGCAGCAGCTGATAAGTTCAGCAGGCAGAAGCTCATTGTTTGACAGGCAGATGTTAAAGTAAAAATGTTGCGTTTAATTAAGATTACAGTTTTCTGAAAAAAAAAAAGCTCTAAAAATTACATTATCTTTACTTTTTATGATAATTTTCTACCGCAATATATACTGTTACCGTGAAGGGGTTCAATTTATACTGTGATATGAATTTGAGGTCATACCGCCCAGCCCTATGTTGTCTGTTGAAGAATGTTCATGGGTCAACTGGGTTATTTTAGTGCTTTAGAATTACGGGACCTAAATATTTGAGTTAGTATTTTAGGGCTAGTGGAACTAATTTTAAGATTAGCACTGCCTACCACTGGTTAACTATAAATATACAGACATAATATTCTTCAAATTTAAAGAAAAAAAAAGATGAAATGAATTTCAGATTTCATTGTTGTGTCATATATGACTGACATCAACATGATCTGAACAGTTAGAACGGATGTCGTTCCATCATTGAAAGCCTCACCTGCTGACTGGACTCATGTAGTTTCCAGGGAAAACTCCAATCTTGCCCGTGTGCATGGAGGTGCCCTTGAACCAGCCATCCTGACAGCGTTCCAGCACCAGAAACATCTCTCCTTTCCTCAGCTCCAGCTCATCCTCCTTACGGGGAGTGTACGGGAACATTGCCACATAGCTAGATAAAACCAACAGAAAACAAACATGACATAGTTTTAAACTAAAAACAGGGTTTGTAAGAGCAGGCCTGTGCAGGCAGGAGTCTCAGCTGGGATGTTTTAACCTGATTTCAGTGTTGTCAGGAGAGGGGAACATAAAACCTGACATGTACATGTTGGCAGAACCACATGACGGCAGGAGAACAGGCGTGAGGGGATCTAATTCTTATCAGGTGTGTGGGGGGTGACTCAGGGGAGTAATGAGGGTAAAGGTGCTGGGGGTCAGGAATCAGAGGGGATAGAAAGGATCTCCCACAGGGACCCTGGAGACCATCACCTAAGAGTTCTGACCCTTACACCTCCACACAGGCTCCCACTCTGCAGGCCCACTCTGGGGTGGTCGAAACACGCAGAGACCCCGATCCACCACAGCGCAGACAGCTTCTGACGTTCCGCTGCACATTTAAGAAGAACACTCTGCGTGACACTGTTTTCATAACTCACACTGTAGGTCTTTGTCTCCCACTTTGGTCGCCCAAGCTGGGGGAGGGTCTCTGTCCGGCAGCGACCGAAAACGCTGCTCCGCTAACAGAAGCCTGTGGGGGAGGAGGTGGGAGTGGYGGGAGAGCATCCTGTGGCAGAAGAATAGAAGAATCATATTAGTGGGCAGATAGGATCAGCATTCAGTTACAGTCTCACAACAATTCATCACTTATCTCTCTCTGTGTGAAACAAAAAAGAAAAAAAAAGAAAAGAAGAACGAGGAGTAACTTTAGCCTCAACAACAAGAGTTACTAAGCAAAAACCCCAGTTTGTTTATGAGCAACAAAGACCGAAGAAGAGATCATTTATTATCTGAGTTATTCTAACACTAGGGGAAAGTGTTTTGGCAGACACAAAGTCTTGTCCYAGACTTCCCCTTTCAACAGAGACATATCCTATTCTGCTTGTTTGTTTGTTGCCAGGAGACCACACAGCTGCGTGTTAAAACACATTGAGACTTTAACTGGGATCATGTGAAACTGAAAACAACTGTCCAACAACCAAAGAAACTTGGGAGCTTTAGATCACAAGTTATTTTTAGTCTCTCTCCTCTACATGTTTGTTATAATTACTTCTATCAATAACGTGTTTTCTTTGTCTCTCTTCCAGAGGAAAATACACCTGGACCAGTTTTTCTGTGTTTGTCTGTGTCTCTTTCCTGTCCTCCAACCCAGCCGGTCGAGGCAGAGGGCTGCCTGTCCTGAGCCTGGTTCTGCTGGAGGTTTCTTCCTGTTCAGGGGGAGTTTTTCCTCTCTGCTGCTGCCGGTGTGCTGCTCAGGATGGGAGACTGTGATGAAGCAAAGATTTGGAGCAGTCTGCTGGCTTCTTAGCTTCTTTAGATTTATTGTTTTTTTTTTCTTTCTTTGTTTGTTTTTTGTGTGTGTGTGTGTGTGTGTGTGTGTGTGTGTGTGTGTGTGTGTGTGTGTGT